TCTGTCCACTTGTATTTAGTACCTGGGACAGAATGAAATTGGCTTAATAGGTTTTGTCTCAAATGTTCATACGAATCCTAATTCCAATAAGTTATCTCCAAGCAGGCCCACTCTCTATTAGACTTGCGTTTCATATTGCATTCCTAAAAATCACTTTTCCATGGAAAGAATCAAGTTCCCAAACTTAAAAACACACAAACGGGAGTGCAACACAGCATAAAGCACAGGTAATTGCTTAGCATAGCTAAATGTTTCTCTTTAGTGAAAACTACTAGTCTGAAACCTCCTCAGGGAAGGGTGTCTGAAAGTGTCAAGGAAACTAATGCAAGCTGCCTGTGTTAATGAGTTTAAGCTGCTGGCACCGGAGCTACCGCGGAGTTTCACTCCCCATGCAATTGTTCTTCAGGAGGGAAGAGCAAGTCAAAAATCACCGATTTAAGATCACTCGGAAAACTCAGCATTTGCAAAGGTAATTTGGAAATTAGACACTACAAGTTTAAGTTATAAGGAACGTTTCAACTGAACTAGGAAAAGTCAGTCTGTTACGAGCACTACATGAATTCTACTGATGAGTTATGAGCAAACCCCACCCACTTTCCAAAATACTGAAAATTAAGACCCTGCGAAGACCCAAGATGGTATATAATTTTACTTACACTTACGTATAAGGGAATTTAAACAGAATTTGCAACTTCAAGGACAAACCTTATTATTAAATTGCTCTTAAAGGCATCAATTCTATCACTTTTAGACAAAAAAACCTTTTATGTTAAGAGATTATTTATTTAGACTTTTGATACAATAAAGGAGTTATTGCAAAGTTTTTAAAGCATGTAAGCCTAGTATTTACAGTGGAAACAGCTGGAAGTTAGATATTTAGATCCACAGAAAGGTTAAAAAACTACACAGTCTGAAATAATTCAACCATGCTCCCTCAGCTTGAGGAAGCACAAGACATTATATGGTGATGTCAACTGTAGACAGGATCTGCTCACCGACTGCATTAATATTTAAAGTGTATAACTTCATGATAATAAAATGACCTCCACGTAAAAATCCACATTTTTTTTCTAACTATTGTGGGGGGGGAAAAACCAAACTCTGGTATCCTAAGATTCTGAAAAGACAAACAGCACATATTTAGCAAAATTTAAACTAATATTGTTTTAAAAAACAAAATGACATTCTTTGAAATGTACTTCATCTTCCATTTAGAAGCCAAGATGTGGATCTTGCAGGGAGAGAGCTGTTTCACAGCAGAACACATTAAGAGATCAGCTGTTCCGTGCTGTAGGAATTTAACCAAGAGAATGGTTATAAAATATTTTAATACAATAATAATGCACAGAATCAGGTTGTTAGAGAACATATCAATCTTCTCAATTGGCTGGTACTTCCTTCCAATTACGCCTCTTTTTTGTGGGGCTAGAATGAAATTTATGCTTTGATAATGCATATTCTAGTGTGCCACAGAGAAATAGGTCACTGATGACACGTAGTTTTGTAATCACATTAAACATACCTGTGCCTATCTCAAATATGCTATTGGTTCACCACTCTGCCATTAGGCACCGATGCGGTACGTGATATCAAGACTGGAAGATGGCATCTTGTTTACTGAAAATACCTATTTAATGCAGTTGTGTGAACTCAAAGGACTCTTCCCAAGTCACTCTTACGTGGACATCTCCTGCTCTAGGTGGTACCACACCAGACAAAGTCTGTTCCATTATAAGCAATTTCTTGTACATATAAAGACTTTCCATCTTTAAATGAATTTGCACCCCTCAGTCTGAAATTTCCACATTCTGTGATTCCAGCAATAAGAACAAAACCATCCCAGAACATCCCAGTATCTTGTACTTGCAACAGAACCTGCCAAACCGCTTTTTAAATTTAACTCCTATAGATACCTAACTGCTCCTATAAAACTGCTGAGGAATTCACCCTCCAAAACATCAGTTGAAGGCTTCCTGTATCAGCATTAGATGAGAATACTAGTATTATCAGTTAAATCCTTTAAAACAAATGAACAACAGCCTATAATGCCAAAGTCTCTTTTGATCATGTAAACATTTGGAAGGTTTTTAACAAATATTACAAATGCTAAGCTACAAAACACGTACTGATCTTCCCAAACCACAATTACTGCAACTAAATCTGAAGTAGCTATAAATACTAGTCACCAAATACTAGATAAAATTATAAATAAAATCTCAAGTCTCTGACATCCTATTACATGCAGTTGCTTAGTTAGAAAAAAAAAGCCATCATGATTTTGCACTTCGCTTTCAAACACATTCTCTCTGAAAAAGCTTTCAAAAACGTCTAGCCCTCAACTACACATTCCCAGTGAGTTTACTCTATATCTCAACTTTATTATCAACATCTAAATTTAAAATGTTGGCTGCCTGGGGCACGGATGGGGACTCTTCATCCCTTCAGCACAAGAACCATATCACAAGTGCTTGATTAACCTCTATAAGCCAGAAAAAAAATGCAATTTACATGCGGGTAGAAAGAGAGAGAAAGGGGTTTCAAATAGATAAAGAGAACACTAGACCCACGTAAAGGATGTAAATTTTCTGTCACCATAAAGTATTATGTTCTTTTTATATGAGATTTCCCTACTCCACAGCCTTTTTACCCACACCAGTGTCCACACTCCTGGATCTGTAATATACATTTTGTTAATACACAGCAGACACCTCAAGAGAAAGAGTGCCCAACTTCCAGAGGCGAACAATCACGCCGCAGTCAATCAGCAGGGTGGCAAATCAAGGTGCACCAGACCATCCTTCACAAATCAATGCTCCCGTCTCACACCGCCTTTATTCAGCGCACACACACACACACATACCCCACCATCACTCTCTTGATTCACCGCGCATACACCACTGTCAACAAAGCATGTGCCAGTTGCCATTCCCAGAACAATACAGCTCAGGTCATCCCCTGAAAAGATAAAAATGCACATTCCTCACATCCTTTATGTCTACAGTACTTCCCCCTCTGCTTTGACTTAAATCACTTCTACCGCACAAGATGCCAAAACTCAGTTATGATTAAAGGTACTTACATAATACTGTTAAGACCAAAGAGATACACTATCTCGAAGCATCTCTTTTCAGACTAACAATACCTGTACCAAGACATCCACACGACTCAAAGTTGCACAGAAGGCAGTTCAAAATCAAAACAACCAAAAACCCTAGGGCACACATACTGCAACATCTGTCCTGCCAGCAAAGAGAAGGGGAAGATACCCAAGCAGAAGAGAGAAAACATCTGATTTCCCGCCACCCCCCCTTCACACACCTACACCCAGAACCAGCTACTGGTGAAGGTAACACTTCATCTCCTCACCTACCCAGTGACAACTCCAGTCCCAGAAGGGAGTGTGTTTAAGAACCGCGATCCCTCCCAACAATTGCGAACCCCGCACTTTGGTGGCTTCACAATAACCCAGTGACAGGGAGGAGGGAGGGGGCTGCCAGCGGCCCCCACACCTCCGTGTCCCCACTCCGCGGGAGGGGGCTGGAAAGCCAAGGCAGAAAGCGAGCTTGTGAAAAGCCAACCCAGCGCGGCCAAACTAACAAGAATTAATTTATTTATTCCCCCCTCCCTGCTTCATGAGGCTCACCTTCCCTCCCCCCCCAGGCAGGTGGCACAGCCCCCTCCCAGCGGGGTGCAGCGGCCGGGCAGAGCCCCCCGGCAGCATTCCTCCCCCGCCCGCCC